CAGTCGGAACTTGTGTTCGATTGATTTCACTGGTGCAGACGTCAGAAAAAAGCGGATAAACTCACATCTTTTTCACTAATGCAGGCAAAGCACGTCGGATCCTAGGAAACACCACCAAGCAACAACTACAATTTCCATGTCTGGCCGCGGCTTCCACCACTTTCTTTCCCCTGATGGTTTCCATTGACTGCCCCACGGGCGGTCTGCTTTTTTTCCATCGTCTCAAAGAGAAAGTGGAGGCCGCACGCAGGCCCGGACACCGCCATCAGGAATTGTCCACCAACTTTGTCAGTGAACAAGACCATATCGCCGAGTGAGACGTGTCGCTTCCACATATAAGCGTGGTCTGCGCGGCTCAGGCCGCAGTCTTTGAAGGAGAACTTGTCTTCCTCCGTGGCCTCCCTGACAGGATTGCCGAGTCCCCACTTACCCAGGCCTAGTTGTTCATTGGACTCTGCGTTTTGCAGGGCCAATCGGCTAACCAAAGCCTTCTGGAGACGAAGAGAATCGCCCAAGCAACCTTCCAAGGTATCAATCAGGCTGCGTTTGATTTCCTGATGCTTCGATTCTTGAACGGCGCAGTGCGGCAAGAACGTCAACTGCTCGCAAGCAGCTCCGATATGGAATCGCAGGCAGCTCTTCGCCCACAGGCAAACATCAGGAAACCCGCAGTTTCCTAACGAACTCTTCGCCCACAGGCTAACATCAGGAAACACGCAGTTTCGTCACAGACTCTTCGCCCGCGGGCGAACATGAGGAAACCCGCAGTTTCCTGACCAACTTCCTCCGCAAACCCACAGGCTGGCCACCCTACTAAAGAACGCACGCTTGTCTTCCCATGTTGCGACGAACCAGCCTCTCCGTGGACTCGCATTCCACGCACAGAAAACGCCGCCCATGTCCGCGACCAGCAACGTCTGAGCGCTGGCATAGGGCGCAAGTCGCGGGCATGGGGGTCTCCTGTGTCTCCTGCGTGGACATTGGCGCGACAGCGAGCGTCCTCCACAAAAACCTGTCGGAGCCGAGAGAGCTGCGAAAAAAAAAACAAGAAAAACAAGAAAACCTTGCGCAAAGCCGAGGACATCTCGCGGACGTCGCCAATACTTAGCTAGCTTTACGGCCAATTCTCGCGGACGTCTGGCGGACATCGGTGGGACCTACAAAGCCAACGTTCTGTGCCACAACATGAGCGCACGCACGGACACACTTTCCTTTCGCCAAATCTGGTGGTATATATTGTATCAGAGGGTGAAGACTATGCTGTTGTCACTCTGTATCTGTGCGCGTAGGCGTCGTCTGTCCTTCTTGGCCGTCGAAGATTGCGGCCTCGCTCGACCTCTCTTTTCCGTTTTCGTCACTTCAGCCTGAGATTTCTTACGGCTAGCGCGAGGACGCTTCTCTTCGACCTGCCTGCGCTTCTCCTCGATATTTTTTGCTGCTTTCTCTTTCCGCTTCTCAGCCGCGGACCAAAGATCACAAGATTGTTCAGCAAGCCTTCCTGCCTCTCTTGGCCCGCAGAACATTGCATTCGTGGGCGCGCGCCGGGCGCGCGCCTGGTCGCCAATCCGGCAAACGTCGGGAAACCCGCAGTTTCCTCACGAACTCTTCGCCCACAGGACCTGTGCCTGGCAACACGCAGTTTCCCCACGGACTCTTCGCCCACGGGCGAACCTGCGGAAACCTGCAGTTTCCTGACCAACCCTTCCTCCGCAAAACCCCTTGAGGAAACCCGCAGTTTCCTGCCAGCTCTTCGCCCAAACGCTTACGTCCTCCCAAACGTGCCTTCGCTCGGGCAACGCAGCCAAAGGCCTTTGAAGAGGTAATACCAGGTAATGCAACAACAAATACATCCTCTCTCGTGGCACGCACACGGCCTCCAATTCTTGCCACAGTTGTTGCGGGAGAAACGAAGGAAATGCTTCGTATCCCTGCTGGGAACGACGGGGCTTCCCGCCCGCAGACGTGGCATCCGCATTTGCTGACATGCTATATACGTGGGCTATATATAGCTTGCTTGGACGAACGTTCTGAGCCAAAAATCTCACTGCAGCATGTGTCATTTGACAAAAATTTTAGTTATTTCAAAAAACCTCATTTTTTATGGTTTCCTAACTTCAACCTGAGTTCCGCGTAACTTCCGCTGAACTTGCGCGAGCCGGGCAAGTGGAAGTTACGTTGAAGTTAACCGCATAGCGCGGAAGTTGTGCGGAACGTATAAGTTCAGAAACTTATAACGGCCCTCTCCGTGGGGATCGGGGGGCCCGCTCGCCGCCAACAGGAGTCCCAGGAGATGGTGCCATCAGGCAGGGGGGCCTCCCGACCTGAAGATGCGGGGAGGGGCCAAGCCCCCACCGCCTGAGGTAGAACAGCCAGTCTTTGTTTTTTGGCCTTCTTTGGATGCTTTTTCTCCTGGCCATGACATCTTCACCTGCTTGATATTCAGCATCCGACAGGCCGAACATTGGTTGATCCTCTTCGCCTTCTTGTTCACTTTTATCTTCCATCACCTCTTCGGCCAGTCTTCTTGCGCTTCTCCTGGTCTTCCTCTTCTTCCTCCCCCTGTTCCCTAAGTCTACTTCTTTGTTTTCTTTTTCTTCTTTGGGGTCTTTACCAGCCTCCTCGAACTTCCTCCCCTGAGGTCCAAGATGCTCGAGTTCAGCCAAAGCCAACTCCTGACAAGTTCAAGCCAGAACTACAGTTCAGGGTGCATCATGGAAACCAACCGCTTTGTGACTTCCCCAGGCCTTTAGCCGTTTAGCAAAATGGTGGGCGCCCCAACTTCCTCTGCCCTTCTTTTCCACCTGAGCCACTTCCTCAGGATGACCGCCCAGTGTGGGCACCCCGGTGAAGGGGATGATAGCCTATCAGCCTCATGGACTTCTTTTCCAACCTGGCCCATCTTCGCGCCAACAGCTTGGAACTGGGTGTGATCTGGTGAGTCAAGAGGTCCTGCGGCGACTTTGTCAGATGTTGTTGATACCATTGTTGCGCTTCCTGCATCGTCAAGCTCCGCCATTCCTCAGAGGCCGGTGTCAAGCTGGCCATGATCGGAACTAGGTTTGGCAATTCGAGACTGTGGCGAACGGTTTCTGGTTCTTGATCTGGATCTTGAAGTCTTGTCCGGAGCTTTGAGCTTCGTGACATGCGATCTTGAATCTTCTGCATGCCTTCAACCACTTTGAGGACCGGCACAGCTTCTTTCTTGAACCCCTGCCTTTCCCAATGGTTTCTCTTCCCCTTTCTTGGTGTTCTTCTTCATGAAGCATTTTTCTTTCTTCTCTCAAGCCGCCCTTTCCCCTGAAGCTTCTTCATCATCTTCCTTGGTGCTGGTGAGGGCATGGTGAGGCGCTTGACCTCCTTGCGGTTCTCTTCCATGACACATGAGCTTGTACAGCTTGTTCAACTACGCCAATGCTTGGCAATGAGGCGTGATCTTCCAACTGTCTTTGAAAGTCTTCTTGAAGGGCTCGGTTTTCATACATCAGCTGCTGCATGTGTCTCATCGTTTCCTCTTTCTCCAACCGCTCATATATGTCTTGGGTTGCAAGGACACGAGCTCTCAACTGATCTTCGTCCTGCAACTTTTCTTTGCCCTTTCCTTTGGTTGCTCTTGTCCCAATAACGCTGCTCGCTGGAGAGCAGGCTGCATTGGAGTTTCGAGGGTAGAGCCAATACTGTAGCAGGCGCCTGGGCATAGGCCGAGTGAAGGTCCTCAAGTTGGGCCGGCGAAGCCTTTCTTCTTCCTCCCTTTCTTTCACCCAAAGGACTTGTGGTATCTTGGAGTGGGCTTCTTCTGGCCTTTTGGGCCTTCTGACTTCGGCCTTGCTTCTTGATACTGGAACCATGGCCTTCGAGTGACTGTCCTGCGCTGGCGGATTCGTTGTGGTTGGTGGCCATGTCTAGGGTTACGTCTCCCTTTTCTGGTGCCCCTTTCTTCCCTCCTTCCACATTCTCGTCTTCCAAGGTCCAAGGCCATCTAAGCGACTTTTGGGCGCATAGCCTGACTTCCGTCAGGCCCAAAAAAACAAATGCTCCGTCTCTCAAGTGCACCTCCGCCAAGTTTCATTGATAGCTCGCACGACCGCTATTTTGTTCCTTTGGGGCGGTCTGGGCCTAAAAACATCTATGGTTCACAGCATCTGCTGAATGCCTAGTGCAAAACGGACATGAACAACAACAACAACAAAGGGCAGAGGGATGAGATAACAAAAACTTGCGCTTTCCCACCGGCCGCCGCACAAGGCTTGCGCATGCGCACGTGCTTTCTCGCATAGAGAAGAGAAGGACAAGAGACGGACAAGAGGAGGACAAGAGGAGGACAGGAGGACAACAGGAGGACAAGAGGATGACAAGAGAAGGACAAAAGGAGAACGGGAGGAGGACAAGAGGAGGACAAGATAAGGACAAGAGGAGGACACAAGGTTGGCCAGCGCGGCCAGAGGACAGGAGGACACAAGGTTTGCCAGTGCGGGCAGAGGACAACTCCTAAGAGACAACCCCACAGTAAACTGCTTGGTGAAAATGGAACAATATCACTTATAAGACCCATCCTTATTTACATAACTTACTGTATATCAATAGCAGCCCTGATCACACAACATAAGATATATGTAGACTTTTTTTCCAGAGTCGCCCTTGGCCATTGTCCGTTTTCGGTTTTGGGGTTGCCATGTGTTTGATCCCTATATGGGAGGTTTCCTCCCTGTGCCCCCGCTATGTCCAGAGACACCGGGCAGCAGCCCAAAAGAAAAAACTGAACGGACTGGAAATACACTGTTCGTTCCATCGCGGAACTTGATTTGGCCATTTCATAGGCTCACTTGCCAGGTTTGTTTGGTCATTTTATGGTTTCACTTGGCGCTGCATGTCATAGAGGGCCAAGGCTGGACATCCCATTTATAACGAGTTCTTTTACAATGCCCTGCTAACTGTCCGGTACTTTGTTCACCGGGTATGCCAAGGCAGGTTATTTTGTCGCCGTACGCCGTGCGGTACGACAGGTAACCCAGAAGCCAAGTTTGGGAGGAGGTGTTTGGGCTGATGGCACTATTTTCGCAGTCGGTGACTGCAACTATGGCTGCATTGGTGAGCCTGGCAAGTGGGAGATGCCCCCCCGTGCCCAAGATCTCATACCCTGGAGAAGAGCAGCTCGGCAAATTTGACCAACACAAGGGTGAACGGAGGTTGAAACAAGTGTCAATGTGTGTGTTTAAAGCTTTAGGTAGCCCAGCACACTGCCGCCAACCAGTCCGCCAACCAGCTCTTGCACCGAGGCAGGCCTACCATGCTTGCCTCAACGTCATGAAACTCGAGAAGGGCCAGAAGTCAAAGTTGGTCACCACCTGGTGGCCATGGGGAGCTGGCATGTTTGCTACCAGCTTGGGGCCTCATGATGCTTGCTTTGTGGCAGCCGCCAATGAGAACAAGACCCTTGGATTTTTCAGACGCGCCAACAGCTAGTAAAAATGTGAGGAGACAATTTGCAAATGATGGTTTGTTTGCCACAAGGAGCGTTGGAAAAGGGATGAGAAGGGTACGTTTTTCAAGTTTGCACGTGCTGCATGAACTTCCTTCAGTCAAGACAGGCGCAATGTGTTTTTTGAATCTCTTTGACTTTTTGAGGAACTCGGGCTACATGGTCAACTGGTGGATCCCGGCGGCCTTGCAGAAAGAGATTATCGAAACCACCAAGATCGATGAGTGCCGCGACCGTTGGTCCTTGGACAAGACTTGGCCAGTTCGACTGCTTAGCCCACATTTTGGAATTGATGAAGGATTGAAAAAACAGTTTGAAAAGAAGGCCACTACTTGAATTTTGCAAGTGCTGCTTAGAGCACGCAACCAGCTTTGATGGATTTATTGTATTTGTTTCGGCTGAGGATTGGCATCCTGATTTGGCACTTTGTTCATCACACCCCGGTACACCTGTTTGGCCGTGGCCCATGGTTTGTTTAGATTTTCGATTTGTTAGCTCTTTCAGAACGTGCAATTGCCGCAGCCCGTCACGGGCCAAACCTGCGATTCTCAGAGCCTCCGCCCAAAAAGTGCGTGAAATATATTAGAGCTTTGAGCAGTCGCCATTCGGTCCTATCGAGCCTTTTGAGCTAGTAAGGCACCTGTTACTACTAGCGTGGCACTTGTTCCTAGTAGC